CTGCAAAATGGCTGCAAGTCAGCTTTAGCAGGGTTCCCGCGGGTCCTTAAAAAGTCTTAAAAAGTCTTGAATTTAACTTGCCTTATGCTGTAGGAACTCTGTTTAGCTTCCAGTGCATGAATTTTGTAAACAGACTTGGAAAACCCTCTTAAATCTAAACGCACACATGCATCAGATTCAGCAGAGTGGCTTTAGATTGAGCAGAGCTTAGGTTAAAACAGAAAAGCTGTGGGTCAAATACTGAACGGATCCTGGATGCGTCTGCTAATAGGGACAGAATCTGCCAGCAGCTGCTGACCAATCACAGCTGTTTTATTACTGCTGTGAAAGTTTGATGGTCTGCAGCACAATGGTACCCAGAGATCCAATCACTGCTGCCCAGAAATTCTCTGAGGGGCTTTAAGGCGCATTTTGAATCAAACTGAACAAAAACGATAGAATAGAATTCAACTTTATTGTTGGGAAGTAGTTTGGTTGAGGATCAGCATGGTGATAAAAAAAAACAGCTTCAGCCACTGGTTCCACATTTCTCTGTCTTTTTTTTTTTACACTTTTCACTCTGACACCATCTCCCATTACACCCATTATATAACCAATTGGCAACACACCTGCACCTGAGTGGACCAAGCCACAATTAAACGGCTAGAAAAAAGTCTAAACAGAGAAACTAGAATACTTTGTTAATCTAATTTACAAACTCATCTACATAATGAAACAGTCTGCAAAATAAACAATGTGATAGAAGATAACTCAAAAAGTTACTTTAAAGAAAAACAAAGCATTACTCCAAAGCAAACCCTCTAAATCAGGGGTGTCAAACTCATTTTCACTGAGGGCCACATCAGCGTAATGGCTGTCCTTAAAGGGCCAGATGTAACTTATAAATGTAACTAAATGTAATGTAAAATAAATGTAACTACTCCTTAATGTTAAATAACTCATTATTTATTATAACTTATTCAAGTGACAATTACAGTTGCATAGAAAACATATGCTTGCTTGTTGCTCTAACACACACAGGTGTCACACAGCCGCTTCCTCCCCAGTCCTCCTCATGGGTCTCTCCCTCTCCGCCCGAATCGCTATCATCAATACTTTGAAGCATTTCTAAAGCCTGTTTCGCTGTTAGGTTTATTCTGAACGCCACTTTTTCCATATTAGCCAAAAAGTTCTAGGTAGAATGTTGGTTGCTAGGCAACTGTACAGAACGTCAATCAACTGTGGAAGAATTTACAGTGCAACTAATAGAGCCGTCAAAATAACGGTTGTGGGGGATCGAGGTAGAATTAACCATATTTATTTTTTACGTTTTAATTTTGTTAAAAATCTAAGTGAAAATGAAGGAAATATAGAAACAGGAAAAGTCAGTTAAAATGAGCAACATAAATTTAATTTTAAATATAGTTCTTTCCCTTTAAAGTCTCAGAACCATCAAAATGACGGTTGTGGGAGTTCTAGCGGGCCGCATAAAATGACATGGCGGGCCACATCTGGCCCGCGGGCCTTGAGTTTGACACATGTGCTCTAAATGGTAGAACCCAGGAAGTTAACCAATGACATCATCCAGCCATTTTAGCAGGAAATACTGTGACAAACAATGGTGAGTAAAAAGGAAAACAAATACCATTAATATACTTTGAAACAAAATAAACAATTTCAACCAATAATCCAGAAGTAGAAGCTTTAACCTAAACATATAAAAATAGATGGAAGCTGCAACATATTGCTAACAGAAACAAACCCGGGATAGTAAGTGAAGCAAAGTTGCAAACAAATGTTTAATTTAAGCGTTATGAATCAGACAAAAGAATAAGGAGCAAGCGGTGAACACAAACCGAACCACTTTGTCACAATTGTCATTACTTTGTCGAGTACAGAGCAACGAAAATTCCCTCTCTGCATTTAATCCATCCCTTTGGGGAGCACTGGGCTGCCATTGTTCGACGCCCAGGGAGCAGTGGGGGGTTAAAGGTCTTTGCTCAGGAGCCCAGAGTGGCCGTTGGTGGGGATCAAACCGGGTACTTTTAACCTTCCCAGAGCACAAGCGCACTGCTCTGCGCACCACTAGGCCAACACTCCCCCCAGATCACAGCAGAGACTGTAAAGTCATTTGTGTTCTTGCTGACTTTCTGGAGTGGATCTGATCTTTTCCAGAGAAAATACAAGAAAACCTCAAAGAGCTTCATCTGAGACTCCGCTGGCCCTCGTCAGGATGGGAAATTCTTAGAATGACACTGCAGGAGTGACTTATTTAACCAAATCCTCTCCTAATATGGCAGCACAACTTATGTATTGCCACAAACTATGAAACCAACTATGCTTTTAAAATCATTGGGTGTACTTAGTTTTTTCTATTCATCAGTGTTTACATTTTTGCAGCTCAAAGATTAATTTTTTTTTAAGGTTTATTTTCTAAACCAGGGTTAAACTTTGAGCTTTAATCCTTCAGCTCCTGTAATCAGACATGAGTGAAGTCCCCCGCTGTGGCCCAATTATATTATATTATTTAACAAAGTCCACAATTCATTCACCCAATAGGACAAAAATAGCGGCAAACAATTGTGCAATTAAAAATTTTGGTTTGAGCCTCAATCTTTCTAAAGATAATATTTAAAGCTCACACACTGGAAAAAATCCAAATCTGGATAAGTCATTAATTCTTAAAATACATGCATTTGTTCTTGGATTGAGGATGTAAAAGAGACATTTTGCCAATGGAACAAGAACATTTACATTTAAAATAAATGTATTGCATTGTCTTACTTAAAGTAAATATTATCTAATTATCTTATTTTAAGAGTAAAAATACTATTTCCATTGGCACACTATCTCATTTACATACTCAACTAAAGAGTAAATACACTTAATTTAAGACATTTTTACTTAATTCTAGATGGTTTTTCCAGTCAGAGGTGAAAGGTCAACCAGCTCCCCCCGCCTTACTCAAATCAAATTTCTATTTGTGCTTCTTCTGTTTCAAATTAAAGGTAAAAAGGTTTGAACTTTCCTCAACAGCCTTAAAACAAAAGCAGCAGAATAAAACATTTCGCAGCACGAATGTTTGACACCATTTTAGTTCGATTTGGTTAAAGTGTGTGTGTGGGCGGGGGGGCAGGTCAACCTTTGAACTTTGGTTAAAAACTTAAAACAACAGCAGAAACAAAAACATTTTCTCAGGGAACGGCAGCGATGCGGGCGCCGCCTCCACCGTGGCGCGGCAGGAGGGAGAGGAGTGGGTGCTGAACGGAACCAAGGCCTGGATCACCAACAGCTGGGACGCCTCTGCTACCGTGGTGTTCGCCACCACCGACAAGAAACTCAAACACAAGGTAAGGCCCGCGGGAGGAGGGGGAGACGGGGGGGGTCCTCCTGTCTCTGACTGCTTCTCCCTCCATGTCTGCAGGGAATCAGCGCCTTCCTGATCCCCATGCCACACCCCGGGCTCTCTCTGGGAAAAAAGGAGGACAAGCTGGGCATTAGAGCCTCGTCCACCGCTAACCTCATCCTGGAGGACTGCAGAATCCCGCTGAGCAACATGCTGGGCCCCCGCGGTGCCGGGTTCAAGATCGCTATGGTGATTTTTAGCATCCTCACTTCTCTAGAATCCTTACATTGTTCTGTTTTCTACCAGACTGGTTAATTGCAGCTTTTCTCAGTTTCTCTGAGCTGCAGCTTTTCTTTCTGCAGAGGATTTAAAATGGAAGCAGGTGGAACCCACTGGGTTTCTGATGAAGGCAGAGAGCAGATGCTCATGAAAATAATATAATAATAATAATACTGGAAAAGCAGGAACAGCGTATTCTGCGTTCTGATTGTTAAACCTGATTTGACAAACAGGTGCTGCCATAACGACTTTCTCTTTATTTGATGCTTTTATTTTATAAATTGGATCCAGTAGAGTTAGAAAAGCACACAGCATGGTCCGCTATGGAGGCCTAAGGGGGACAAAATGATGTTCCCATCAGAGTCCAGATGAACCGTAGAGATAGTGGCTGGAAGCAGCTGAACAATCGGCTTTAAATGGTTAAAAACTTTATTCTAAAACCTCATTTGATCTCCTCCCCATCAGGTTTGGTTTCTGAAATAGTTTATCTCTCTGAGTATTAGCACGTAGCACAGGCTCGTATCATGTTTAGGTTTTCTGCACTAATGTCTAGTGAATGACCTTTTTTCCATCAGCAAACGCTGGACAGCGGCCGGATCGGCATCGCAGCCCAGGCTCTTGGAATCGCCCAGGCTTCCCTGGACTGCGCCGTAGACTACGCTCACAAGAGGACGGCGTTTGGAGCGCCCATCGGCAAATTGCAGGCCATCCAGGTAGAGTCCTCCATTTTGTTCACTCCTATTCAGTGTATCTGCACCTGAAGTCAGAAGATATGAGTCAAATATAAAGGATTTGAAACCTGAATGATTAAAATATCTCTGAAGCTTTATTAGCATCTGTCTTGTTTTTCTTTCTTTACATCGTCCAGTTTAAACTGGCAGATATGGCCGTGGCGATAGAGAGCGCTCGCCTGCTCACCTGGAAAGCTGCACTTCTTCGAGATGGAAAGAAACCTTTCACTAAGGTAAGCAGCTGCTCAGAACAATATGGAACAGAGCAAAGTTTGAAACCGCTTTTATTTTTAATGTTTACAAACTAGATTACTGTCATTAACTGACAAGACAATCGGCTCATTCAAAAAGACCTGAAAGAAAAATACATTCACTAAGACGCACAGGTTAGCTGGATTTGCTGAAAGGTTTTGCATTTATCTGATGATACGTTCACACCAGACGCGCTTTGAGCAGCTGAAGCAGCAGGTTTACATGCAGAGTCTATGGTTGATGTGGATCAAGGCGCAGCAAAAGACGCTGCAGCGCCTCTAGAGCAGCAGGAGAGGCGCTTTTTGACACGTCTGAGCACAAATCTGCATTAAAAGATGTCTTTGATCGCGGTATTAACCTAGCTGCTGTTGCTGCCCACCAAAAAAAAAAAGAATAAATAAACAAATGAAAAGTAAAAGAAAGAAAGAAGGTTTGCAGTCGCAGCAGATTCAGCTTCATGTCTGCTTGGAAGTTTGTTGGTCGCGGTCGTGAACGCAGGGAGGATCCATCAAACTCACCTTTCGCTCACCCTATGATGGGGACGAAGTCTGGAGGAGAACTGAGGGTTTCCTCCTGTTATGCTAGAAGATCACACCTTGAGACTAAAAACTTAAAACAAGAAAAAAGTCTCAGTAATCAATGGTTTTGGTTTCTGCATGCATAACTTGATTTTGCTCAAATCTACTTAAGATAAGTTATAATATCTATGAAAGAGTGCTGTAGAAAGAATAACTTAAAATAAGTGAAATTATCTTAATAAGAAAGGGTCTTAATAAGTGAAAACATCTAATATCTGAACTTCTAAGAACAATATTCTTATTTCAAGTCAGTTTAACTTGGTTAAGAAATTCATTTTTGTAGTGTGTGAACCCGCTTATATACCAAAACGCTGCCAATACGCCATTATAGATTAGCTGGAAGTTAGAAACGCGTTCAGCGCTCGTCTGGAACACGTCAGATACGTTCATATGCGTTCTAGATAAGTTACGCAGGAGTTATGCACGTTACTCAAAGGTAACGTATGTCAACGATCAGATAACTTATGGCCCCATATGTACGTACTCGCCGTATGTCCGCGTGCTTCAGCGTGTTTCAACCTCCTTCAACGTTCTCATAACTTCAACAAAACATTCCCATAACTTCTCCAACGTATGCCAGCATTTTGGCCAGATTTTTGGTACATCAGGCAAACGCTGGTCTAAAGTGTGACTGGGGTTTTAGCATGACTTGACTCTACTTTTGATCCATAAAGTTCCCTCATAGAATGTCGGGGTGCGGTAATATCGTAACGCCATAAATGAAGTTTCTTACCAAAACCTCTGCAGTAGAGAAGGCTGCCAGCAGGCGGGCAGGATGGTTACGGCTTAGAGATAGATATGTTGATTTCTGATGGGGAAACATGATTGTAGACGATCAGCCTTAAGGTTTAATTCCACCTTTGGAGTTTTGGAAATGAGGTTGAACATATTTTCCTGCAGGAAGCGGCCATGGCGAAGCTGGCAGCGTCTGAAGCCGCCACTTTCTGCTCACATCAGGTAAGAAAAACTGCAAAGATAGAGAAGAAAGGACTCATAAAAGCTGAAATCCTTTTTAAATCCATATCCTATTTTGCATTCTGAACCAGGCCATCCAGATTCTGGGTGGGATGGGTTACGTGACGGACATGCCTGCCGAGAGACACTACCGCGACGCCCGCATCACCGAGATCTATGAGGGGACCAGTGAGATCCAGCGGCTGGTCATCGCCGGTCAGATAATGAAGGAATATCTGTTATAGATGCTCTTTTGAGCGTGACTTTGCATCTAATGGACACTTGATTCTGGATGAAATGCAGTTTTATACCTTCTTCTAGTTCCAGGGGCTTTATGTTGATGTGAGCTGATGCTTGAAGAGAAGAATGTGGTGTTCTTACGCAGCAATACCTCCACAGTCTCACATCAGCAGGAAATTCAGGCATTTATTCCAACATAATGGAAGAGAATCAGGAGAAAAAAATGTCCAATCTGCCTTTATTTGGAAATTAGGCCTCAGAGTTTAATCGGCCAGTTAAAATCTTAGCTTAGACTTTTCCGAGTCGTTTGTTAAAATCAGCTTTTAACAGAGATGTTTCCTGAAAATGTTGCTTCCCTTTTATCGTCATCATCCTGTTAAAGTACTCAGAGAATCCTGCAGAACGCCTTTTAATCTGCTTTAGCGTCATGTGCCATTCAGCCACCAGGGGGCCACAGAGTGCCTTGATGCATCTTGACCCATTTCTGCAGAATCTCACATCAGGACTGATTGTGTAATCGGCACGCTGCGATCACACTTGCAGATCATGTTCAGTCCTCTGCTCTGCAGACGTTTGTCTCGTTAAAACAGTTTGATTCATTAGCTGAAGGTGTCTGATGATACACCAGGTGCTGGCTCTCTCAGATTTCATGCTCAACATGTACATATTTGACTGTAATTTATTGTGATCAGATGTTTAATAGAAAAAATAAAAATCTGCAAACCCATCAGCTTTGTTTTTGATGCTCCTTCTGTGAGTGTGAGGCTGCAGTCTGTTGTCATGGCTCTGTGGGTTTGTGTGCTTTTCTCACATCCTCTCTGCGAGTCTGATTGCCTGGCTGCTCCAGATCTAGGCCGGGATTCCTGACGATGGAAAAACTCCCTGCTGATTGTGCTGATGACGGGGAGCGTTGTTGGATGCAGCCATGCCGCTTGTTAACCACGCTGGAAAGAGCGACCTGATTCCTCCTGCCTCACATTTATTTCACATGCTAACGAGTTTTTGCACAAGCATTTAATGTCTCCAACTTTCTATGAGTTTAATACAGGCTTAAAAACTCCTCTTTTTAGAAATAAATATTAAATAATATTCAAAATCTGCAGTTATGGGGGGAATTTTGTACCATTTATTGTTGCAAACAAAGAACACATTTAGTAAATGGAAATAAAAAAAAAGCAATTCAGAAACTCCAAAAAACTTTAAACAACAATCAATTAGACTTTGTTTCCAAGTGTGAAGATGTTTCGCCTCTGATCCAGGAAGCTTTTTCAATTCAAAATGTCAGAAATAGATCTGAGTTCGAGGCTTTATGGAGTGGATCAAAAACAGCCTTAAAACACGCTAATTGAACCTGACGAAGGGGTCCGTCTTTTAGGAATGGGGGTCAATTTGCTTCTTTGTTGCCTGCAATCCCCATACCTGTCTATGTCTCTGAAAGGGGGGGTCATTAAAGGGAATTATTATTATGGCTGAATAGGCGAGGTCTTCTGTTCCTCTGTAAGGGGGTGGAGTTGCGATGATAGCTGGGAATCAACTCAATCACTGAATTGTAGGTCTTTGAAAGCTTGTACATGTATAGTGAAATAATCCCAAGAGGTTCTGGAAGCGTTTCCAAAGCGTTTTCCACATGTTTGCAGATAATTTTATTCATGTAGTTCCACAGGTCATCTCAGCGCTCTTGTCAGAATCCATTCAAACAACTGGAGGGTAGATGATCCTGGTTCAGAAAACAAAACGCCTGAAAAAAAATAATTAGTTTGAAGCATTATATGCTTTACAGAATAGAAATGGATGTTTCTAATGTTAAAATTACTTTGGCGAGTTACAGGGAAAAGGAAAACTAAACGGGTTAACCCACCTCTGCCATCAGTCATCCAGACTCTGCTCCTCCTAGATGATGATGTGGCGACGGTAGATATTGCATGTTGCAGTTGATGCTTCAGCATCATAGGAGCATGTTTACAATGCTACTGCACTATAACCTGGTGTAATAACACTCCAATAACTTATATTATTGATCTATTTAACAAACCAGAAGGCACACTCTACCTGGCACCCCTTTACTGTACATAAGATACTGTTTATTTAAGTCCCTTTAAATCTCCTTTATTTTTTGCACATATCTGGATGCACTATAAAACTTAATGCACCTTTTTCTCCTTTGTGCCCCTCCTGTTGTTCATTAGAGCCGAAGTCACGAGTGAATTTCTCAATTGTGAGATCAATAAAGTTGAATTCTATTCAATCCCTCACACCAAGTATGCAGCGACAGTGGAGAGGAAAACTTATTTATCATTGTCTCCCTTTCATCTTTCTTTCATTTTTTTTCTTTCCTGTTCTGCTTACATTGCAGTGTCCATATAATCTGTAATACTCCCTGCATGAATTATAATAAAGCTATCTATTAGCATAAATCAAGCAGAACGCTATGGCGATAGCCGTACTGCTCCACTTGTGAAAGTAAAATCTGTTGGGCCTTTTTTGGCATTAATTATTCTTATTGCCACATTGCCAGACAGGACACTGTTAAAAATCAAAACAAACAAAAAAACTCCCTTATTCTGTAATATTTGCTTCTTGCTACTCCCCCTCAGGACCAGATTTATGGAGTGACCAATCTTTGTCCTGTTGACAGATTTTTCCACCTGAGCTGCAGCGCTCTGCAGCTCCTCCAGACAAACCGTTGTCATTGTAGGTGGAAGGTTTACACTTTATTTTCTGCTGACAAGTTAAACCACTGTGTGAGACGTCCTAAACCTGAAATATTGTTTCTTTTGGAGATCGGTTGAGCTGGAAATTTATTAGAAATATTAACGGTGTCCTAAGATTTAAAAAGATATTAAAAACAGTCTCCTTCTGTCCATTTTAAACCAAAGGTTTCCCCCGTTCTCTACACCCTGCATTGGCTCCCGATGCTTGTTAAAAGATTTTATTGTATATTTTTAAATCTTTAAATAGTCTCACCTCAGAGTATTTGTCCTTGATTTTAAAACAGCCGGTCATTGCGGGTCTTCAAGTCAGCTGGGCTTAGAAGTCGCTAGGTCAAGGTGTAAACGGTGAGGTGATCAGGCTTTAGCTCTGGAACAAGTTACCCCCGGATATTTGCATTGTTAAAGATATCGATCATTGTAGGTCCAAACTCAAAACATCTCTGTTCAGACTGGCTTATCATACGTAGCAGTGCTGTGACAATTTCATTCATCATAATAATTGAACTTAATTGATCTCACATTGGAGAAATGTACCTCTGCATTTCACCCATCCCCTTGGGGAGCAGCGTGGGGTTAAGGGTTGTTTTGCTCAGAGTGGCAGTCTGTGGGAGTGGGACTCAAACCCAGAACCTCAGGATTTAAAGCCCAATGCCCAAACCACTAGACCACCACTCCCCAAGTCTTTAGTTTCTTTGTAACCTTTTGGATTTTACTGCTTTCTATGTTTACTCTTTCTGTTGTATGTTGTTACTCTACTCATCTTTGGGTGCCTAAGGGTTGTTGTAATAGTGCTATATAAATAAATTCAGATTATGATTTGATTGTACTAAAGCACTGCTTTGTGTTGTGTTAGGATAATTATCATTGATGATGTGTGAGTTTATTACACCTTGGTATTGGCTGCCTGTTGCGCGTCAGAACTGATGTTTTAATCTAATTAAGACAGTTCCTCTGTCTGGATATAAAGTTATAATCTTCATTCTGAACGTGGCAAATATTTGGGAATAGAATGAGAACGGCGTCCTTCAGCTAAGAACGAAGTGTAATATTTTGATAATGCTGGAGTCATGGATGTCTCCTCATTAGGAGGAGGAAGAATCAGCTCCCCTCAACTATCCTTGTGAACTTCTATCAGTGTGCAATAGAAAGCATCCTAACCAACTGTGTAACAGTGTAGTACAGAAGCTGTTCTGTTGCAGAGCGCAAAGCACTGCAGCGGGTGGTGAAAGCCGCCCAGCATATCACTGGAACTTCACTAGCCACCATTAAGCACATCCAGGAGAACCGCTGCCTACATGGAGCCTGCAGCATTCTTAAGGACTCATCCCACCCAGCCCACAGACTGTTTTCTCTCCTGCCCTCCGGCAGGTGTTCCAGGTGCCTCCGGACCAGAACCAGCAGACTAAACAGCTTTTTACCCAGAGCCAAGGGCGTAGGAATATGTTTACAATTGGGGG